CTCACCTTTCTGTAGCTCCTGACCCAAACTATCTCAGCAACTGTTGTTTTCTTTGGTAGCCATACTCTCTCTGAACCAGGAACCACACCACAACTATGCCCAAAGACTCCACACTTAGCGCATACCTTTGGCAAATTACTGTACTCAATCCCTACTTCAAAACTTGGATCATCATCTGGATAGAATTTGATTCGAGAAGGGAACCCATAGTCAGCCTTCAGTTCAATACAAGCCTGAGAGAAACCCAATTGACCACCCACACGAGTCTTCTGATCCATCCATAGAGGTTTGCCTATTGTACTCGTAACCCATTCCAAACCCTCCTACGCCACATACTCCAACGGCAGTCCCCATATCTTGACCCAGATTGGAAGAGTTTCCACCCTCGGAGCTAGAGGCTAGATACCCGAGTGCCATTTCCTGAAGAAGATAGGGTTCCCCCGATGATGCCATGGCCCCGAGTGAAACACCCAATTACACGATGCCGCCGAGGGGAATTGGAACACGATGAGCTTCGGCCCAAACTTTGACACCCTAACCAGACCATCTCTCCCCCATAACCTGTTCGCCCATGTCTGAAGAGCCGGGATCTCAGGCCGACTGCCCACAAATTGGCCAATCAACGAATCCTTCCAGCGCTCGGCTCCATTCTCTTTCACCTCCTTCGGGAGACGATATCCATCCTTCACCTTCTCAGGGGGATGAAAATTTAGCCGATTCTCTGGAGCAACTTCGAAAAGCTGTGCCCAAGTGATGCCCTCGCCAGTCGGCGACGAGCCCGATGGCGAGGCGGCCATCAAAGCAGCGATCGCAAACCCTAGATCGTCGGAGAAAAGAAGAGAGAGAAAAGAGGAGAGAGAGGAAAACACTTTACCACTTTAGGATTGGTTGATTTTGATAAGTCTGTGAAGTGTAAAATAAAGTTTCTGATGTATGACCAAAGATGAGAACTATAAATTATTTATTATCTATCCAACTATGTTGAACTGCTCAACCATACAAAAATCATTGTTTGTCATATTACATTTTCATAAATTAGTTCACATAAGTAAGAGATGAACTATCAGAAGAAGAAAATGTGCTCTATATATAAGACAAGCGTACATACATGAGAATTATCAACATTCTTATGGGTAATCCATTAGTTTGATGTTTCTTTTCAAGCTATATATTATCAAATTATGTGTTTTTATGAGATTGTTTATGCCTATTTAAGATTTCAAAATGAGGCGACTCATTTGCAAACTAAAAGGAACAGATTGTAAGATCCATCAAGCTTGCCATGAATGGTTATAATCGTTTTCGAGTGGTGCACTCTAGAGATTTTCAAGGTTTATCAATCCTCACATCATTTGGGTTCTCTTCATTTAACTAATGTTTTATCTTACTTCATAAAATTGCTATTGTTGTTTATACCATTGATAAAATGTATCCGACCAACAGGCCGGGTCTAGATCTAGTCTTAAGGCAAAGAGATAACTTTGTATATGGAATTTAGCTTGGCATGGCAAGACAAAAACTAGAACTAATTAAACACGGTGCAATTTTAGGTTTGTTGCCATTAATATTTTGTCATTTGTATTATGATCAGAGTAGAAATCATAATAAATTACTTATCTTATTATATATGTTTATACATCATTTTAAATTTAAACATTCAAATAGAAAGTAATTCCACAATGATAAAAGTAATCTAACAAATAGACAACCCGCTAAGAACGAACATTTTCAAAAGTAACAAACAATAAGGATTTGATACCTTATACACTAGCCAAGTGGTATGTGGAATTTTATTGTACGATTCAAGTTTAAAACATTATGAATACGGTTACTTTCTTCTTGAGTAACGATATTTGGGTATGATTCCCAAATGGTAAATTAATTCTTTCACCCTCTAATTCAAGTTCAAAATTCAAGTTCAAAGGGTTTGGACTTTTGAGAACTTCGAAGATTATAGGTCAATTCAAATAAATTAATCATTAAATTTCAATCAAACACATCAATCCAACCATGTGATGATATTTCGGTCATACCAACTTACAAGTAATGTCATAAAAATATAATGAGATTGACAAGAAGTGAAATTGAAGAAGATTTCTTTTAGGTCAAGGTTACTATACTTTGTACAATAGCAAACATTTAAAATTCACTTCAAATTTCATGTTGTTGATGGAAAAGCAGTTGAAAGAAATACAAATAAAATTTATAGTATTTATGACAAAAAGAGGTAAATCAAAGTGTAGTTTTGTAAAATTTTCTAAGAGTCGACTTCATTACATAAGTTTTTTTTTCTTTTTGTAAATGAATCACTTAGAATGTTTGAAACATATATAATGCAGTTTTTAATTTTGAAGTCATTAAATGATATAGCTATTTTTTGAAATATCAAATACAAACGTATCTTACTTCACACAATTACCATTGTCGATTATGTATTATTGTCGAAATATATTCGCTCAACGGGCGGGCCCAAATCTAGTGAAGTAAGGGGCAGCTGCCACGTTTCCTGGACGTGGAACAATGCAAATTACTCTCCCATTCATCCTTCCGATCCGCCTCAGCCCTTCTTCCCCAATTTCCATTCTCGCACTCTCGTCAATCAAGATTCTGGGCATGTTACCCCTCAACTATTACGAAGGAGGAGAAAATCAATCGAAATCCGTAACGCAACATCAACGGAAAGATGACGGATCGATTCTTTCCCAACATTATGCCAGACTACGTTTCGGAAGCTCAACCGTCCGTTAATGACCCTCCGGAGCAACCACCGCAACAGCCGACACCGGAATCCCAGAAAGAGAAGCCCACGTCCGGTGATCCTCTCGTCAACCTTCTATCCATGCCTTACTCCTCCCTCTCCCAACGCTTCCAACGCGCTGCATTGGATCTTAAAGAAACCGTAATCAAAATTCTTTCTCTTGTGTTCTTGTTATTATTGGTTTGGTCTCTTTCTTTGTTTCTCAACCCATTAATCATTAAACGTATTCAGAAAATGGAAGGGGGGAAAAGTTGTTTTTTCGTTTGTTGTTTCTATTGGGTTTTCTTTTTTGGAGCGATTGTTGATGCTCCTGGTGGGTCTTTGTTTCAGATAGTGATGGATACATGGGGGACAACTGGGCAATCTGTGCGAGACTTCACGCTTTACAGTGGCACCCTCGGCACCGCTTTCTTGTTATTCAGGGTCTATGAGGTGACTGGCAACAAAACCGATCTGCTCCTCTGTTTAGAGATCGTTAAGGCTTGCGATTCTGCTTCTTCAACTTCCAGGTGCTTTGTTTTGTCTGTCCCCAATGTACTGAGCATGGTGCATTTTCTACTTTATGCTTTAGAACAATTGAAATAAAGCAAGATACTCAACTAAGGAGGAGTGTTTTGTTGCGTATGGTGATACAGGGATGTGACATTTTTAGGTGGGCGAGGCGGTGTTTGTGCCCTTGGGGCTGTAGCAGCAAAGTATGCTGATGATGAATCATTAAGAACTTACTATCTAAATCAATTTGAAGAGGTTATTGCTTTCATTATCTTTGCTTTCGCTTTCAACTTTGGTAAATAAAAAAACCCTTTTGGTGAGAACTTGAAAAAAGGTTTGCAGAATGAGTTTGATGGTGTGATATGAACAGGTCAAGCTGTCATCCGATCATTCTGATGAGTTTTTGTATGGAAGGAGTGGGTTCCTGTGGGCTTGTTCCTTCATCAACAAGCATATTGGTGATGGTACAATTCCCAAAACAATGATAGTAAGTTCTATTACATCAAAACTTGTGTATTTAAGGGTTTAGTTTAGTGATGAGCTGGGTAAGCCAGAGTATAAATGTAGCATGGCAAATTTGATGTAGCGTGCAGTTGCCGATGAAATTATCAAGAATGGGAGGGCAATGGCCAAGGAAGGGGGTCCTCCATTGATGTTTGAATGGTACGGAGAGAGGTATTGGGGTGCTGCACACGGTCTTGCAGGTATTATGCATGGCTTGATGGATGTAGAACTCACACCAGATGAGATTAGTGATGTCAAAGGGACCTTGTATTACATGATCAAGAATCGGTTTCCGAGTGGCAACTACCCTGCGAGTGAGGAAGATCGAGTCAGGGATGTTCTTGTACATTGGTGTCATGGTGCTCCTGGTATCGCCCTTACATTTATTAAGGCTGCTAAGGTGAATACTGCAGTTTCTCTATGCCAGGTTCTATATTGCCTCTTCTTACCCGCATAATGAGGAGTCATTCCAGACCCACTTGGCAAATAGGGGGTTGATCCCCTCTATGACTACAAATCTGAGACCAAAATCTCACATCATACATTTTCATGTTCAATAGATTTGTAAATGATTGTTGAATTTAGTGAAACCAAAACTACAAATTCTTTGGACTCGATCTAGTAGCCTTTTGTACATTATGGTCTTTCATTATGTAATTTACTAATTTGGCATGATTCATCATTTATCCTTTGATGTCACTATGCATGAACGTAGGCCCTGACTCATGAAATCCTGTAGCCGATGTACTTGGAAAAGTGGCAAATGACTCAGAATCACGAACTATATGCCATTGTTTGCAACTAATTTTCATCTAGAAATGACTTTGGTTAGGCCTTTTATTCAACACGTGTTTTTGAATATCAGGTTTTTGGAGACACGGATTTCCTGGAAGCCGCTATGGATGCAGCAGAGTTAATATGGAACCGGGGGTTGCTGAAGCGAGTTGGAATGTGCCATGGCATTAGTGGGAATGCCTATGTTTTCCTCTCACTGTACCGAATGACAGGCAACCACCGGTTCATTTACAGAGGAAAAGCATTTGCTTGCTTTTTACTTGACAGAGCTCACAAACTCATATCCGCAGGAGAGATGCAAGGAGGTGATAGCCCTCACTCACTTTTTGAAGGGATTGGAGGTATGGCCTATCTTCATCTAGATATGATTGACCCGCTCAAGTCCAGATTCCCAGGTTATGAACTTGATTGAGTAGGAGAACCCACTTGGATCATATTGGAACTTAATCTTGTGTAAGATGTTTCTTTGTTATATAGATTAAAAAAATGCATCATAGCACAATAACTTGCTTAAATCTTAGCATTTGCGAGTATCATCAATAATAGAGTTACGATTCCTTAAATCTATCAGCATCTCTTAGAACGTAACACAAGGAATGTTGCAGCTAAATAAGGTATTTGAAAAGCTTGGTTTCTTGGCAAAGAAACCTTATTTGAACATAACAGATAATCTTCGATCTGCACCAACACATCGGGTGCTTGAAAACAACACCACCACCACCTCCTTGTTCTTCAGTTCTTCTTGTACTTGTCGAGGAAGCCGATGATGAGTTCATTAATCTTCTCCGGAACCTTCTCCTGAGAAAAATGGTTGCCGTCTTCCAAGAAGACGATCTCCAGATCGGGCACGAATTGCTTCACCGCCCCACTCCTTATGTAGTCCTCCATTCCAGCAAACTTGAGGACGTAGTCCTTCTCCCCCATGACCAGCAACGAAGGAGCCGTAACTTTTGGGTCACGTATCCCACAATCCATCCCCAGCGTCCTACACAAACCAAAAGGATGATACATATCGTGATCATCGGCCAAATCGAAACGGGTTGTTCTTCGTTTTAAGCAGTCGAGCGCACATTTACCTGTATGGAACCCGGAGAGCGACACGAAACCCTGACTTCTCGTACAAGGAAGCATAAGCTTGAAGATCCTCGTCGGAGAACCACGGTGGCAGAGGAGCGGACAGCGGGACCAAGTCCATGATCTCTTGGTCGTCTCGAGCCACCGGTGGCTCGGAACCAGAGAAGAGAGTGTAGATGTTCTTAATCACTGTCTTCACTTCTAGCCTCCCAAAATCGGCCTCGGCCCTCCCGGGCTCCTGTTGGAGTTTGGTTTCCAAGGTGGCCGAATCAGTTGTGCTATTAGAGTTTCAAGACGCCGGAAAATGTATGCTTATTGTTAATTAGTTAATTAGATAGGCATTACCTGCCACCTGTTGATGTAGAAGCCGTTGGGCATGAGGTGATTCCTGATGCCGTCTGGACCTGGTAGCAAGAAAGGGATGCCCAGGGTGATGAAGCCGGCCACCCGGTCTTGGTGTGCGGCGGCCACCATGGATCCCACGATCGCTCCGAAGTCCTTTCCGACCAGGTACACCTGTTGTTTAGTTGACCATATTGCAATAGAATTCAATTAACTAACATTAAAAAAACACTCTTCTACTCTCTAGGAGACAAATTATGATGTGTCTCCTCAAATTGCTTCCATTTGAGCACTATGGTGTTTATGGTTTTATAGTTCAATATTGCAAGATTTTCGTGCGTTGTATGTTTCGTGACCATAGAATGAATAACGTGATCTCTTATTTATAAAACTATCGCCATATCCATCCAACAACCATGAAACGCTTTAACATTCGTCCATTTTCATAGTTTGGAGTTTGGACCATAGCTGGGATTCCGTTTGCTCGGTTCAACAGTCCATGTTCAACTACCTGTGGAAATGTAAATAACAAAAAGGACTCTATATATATAAAAAACGTGACTATGGCTCACCTACTTCTTCTATAATTTTTTTGTTTGTTTGGCTCACCAACCAGGTTCAATCATGTCACCATTAATCATTTACTACTGTTTCAAATTTGTTTTATTTAAATCAATGACGTCACTCTGAAATACTACATATCTCATAATTGATCCCGGTATTCGATTTAGTTTAATTGGATTGACACTCTCCTTGTGCCATTACGAGCAAAATAAATTTGTTCTAGTCATACCATCGCCTAGCTTTCAACTTTGCTACATGAGTGACGAACCGAACTAATATCAGATAAATTGGTCGAGATTATAACGTTATACTGGACGACCCGCTGCTATACAAATCGACCCTCTTTTTTTTTTTTTTTTTGACAAACAAGAATACAATAGCTAATGAATGAATGAATGAAATAATTAAGATTAAGGTGGGGAAAATAAATGGTAGGATGAAGGAGGCATAAACGTACCTTGGGGATGGCGAGAAGGTCCAGCAGGGCAATGGTGTCGTGAAGGAAGTCGAGGAAGTTAGCCTTGTCGGGCTCCGCCGGCTGGTCGGAGAGCCCGTAGCCCCTGAAGTCAAAGCCAATGGCCCTGTACCCGGCTTTGGCGACGGCGACCATCTGATGCCTCCAGGTGTACCATATCTCAGGGAATCCATGCAGGAAAAGCACAACCTCAGAACCTGCAATCAATCCCACCATTATATATTAACACACATTCAAAGGTACATTCACATAAATGGAGCTAACGAACATGGTGAAATGATGTGATTAGTGAAGTAAAACGTACCAGTGCCGATCTCGGCGAGGTGAAGATTGAGGCCCCTGACTTGGACATGGCTGTGCTTGATCGCTTCCATGGCTGGGTTTTGGTTCGACAGTAGTACTGTATTAATGAGAAATTAGTGTGTGGACTGTGGAGGGGATATGGAACCGTAGCAGGGGAGGGGTTTACTTATATAGAGCTACCAGAAATTGAAATGGGCCGGCAGAGTACTGCTGTTGGGCCGTTCGCCAAAGTATCAATTTTCCGTTGTTATCTATTTAACAACTAGTTGTTGTAAAAATTATTTGTTAGGATGCAGAAATGTTGACTCTCTGTTTTTGGTGTTTCACAGTTGTCATTTTGACCATAAGGATTCGTCTCAAAATGACCTACTGATAGCAATGCGGCGGGCTGGGCTGGTACCTCAATACCTATGTTCCGTTCCACACTACTACGGATTGAGGCGGGTAAAACATGTGCGGATACTGGGTGGGGTGGGTCGACCCACTCTTACATATTATTTGCAAAAATACACATGTAAATTTTACCTTTTACGATAAAACCAAGGAGGAAACACTTTATGAATGAAAAATAGTGATAATAGAATGAGCAATTGAGTCTAACTAGTTGAAAGATCGACTCTAACTAGTTGAAAAAAAGTCAAAATAGGAGAAATATGTATAGATATTGTAAGAAATTGAGGTAGAATGGGCCAAGAACGTGGCGGGGCAGCGCAGGACGGGTTGAAAGTAGATACTCATGCCCTGCCCTACGCTACTGCAGGTCAGGTAATACCCGCCCGTCGAGAGCCATATCGAATAATACCCGCGGGGCGGGTTCAAATTACCATCACTAATGACCGCAACCTTTAATTGTACAAGTTTTGTAATGAAAACCTGTGAAGTTTTTTTTTATGAATGAAAACCTGTCAAGTTATGCGAAAATTATTTACAATTTACCTATACTTCAAGTATCTCTGAAAATTGTGGTGTACAATTTTTTAGATTCATGTAATAATGACTATTGCAAGGAAACTTTTATGAGTAAAATTGCACTTAATAGTTTTAAATTTCTATGCTATATAATCATATTAAACAAGAATTAGCAATTGAAAATGAAATTTTAACTATGGAAGTCTGGATCTACAGCTCGTCCTCTACTATGCTATGAAGCATTGGTGCTTCCAAGTAACTCCTGAATTTGTACAATAACGCTAAAAATGCAGGTTCAGTTAAGTAAAAATTGAATTTTATCATAATTTGAAAAGTATAAGTTCAATTTGTTCCATAATTAATATTTCTTTGTCAACAAAAGCACCGACAGTAACAAGCATGGTAAAATTCGGCCATGAATAGGGTGCTGACACCTAATTTGTTAGTATGGTACTATGGTGCTAACACTCAATCCCGTCAATATGAATTTCTCTTCTTACAAACTTTCTATGCTGAAAGATTCGGTAATAATTTAATGCAGATTTTTTAATGGAGGGGCACCGATGTCTTTTTCATATAAATATCAAAGCACCACGCGTACGAACCACAAGCATAACAAAGCAGATAAAAGAACTCAAGACAGAAAACACGACAAATCATACCACAAAAACATAAATAGACCATAAACCTCATAAAGCATATCAAAATCTCACCACACCACAAAACTTATAAACCATACAAGAAAACTCAAAACTTGCCACAAATTTCCTAAAGCAGATCAGTATAAAGCTGACCACATCACAAAACTCATAAAACAGCTATGACAATATGGCATGGAGAGGTCGATGGTTGTTTTAGTGGTGCGGATCAACGACAATGGAGGTGCAAGATAGAGGGTTGTAGCGTTGACATGGCAATGGCGCGATTGATAATGGTGAAGATGCGACGGTTAAAGAGCGAATGTTGGTACATGGAGCAGTCGATGCGCTGAAGCTAAGGCAGAAGGAAATGGAGTCGGTTTGATGGGTAAATTTTAGTGAAATTAAAGAAGAATGAAACGAAGATACCCTTACTAATTGTTGTTGGCACCCTATTCCATCCCGTAAAATTCCTCTTTTTATGTATAAACCAAAAATTAATCAACAATGTAACCGGTTGGCGCATACATGCCATTTGTTATCTATTGACGACTAAGTGGCCGGCTTTGTTTTATAATACATCATATTGTTTATTGTAGTTGAGTTTTTGGGAATGGTTTTGTTATCGAGCACTTCTACTATGTTATATAGTATTGGTGCTTTAATGTACAACTTGAAGTTGTACCATAACATTAAATGTATAAGTTTATGTTGTACCATAAAGGAATTTGTATCATTATGTTATGGTACAACTTTACAACTTGAAGTTGTACCATCACATAAAGGTACAAGTTCAAGTTGTACCATAAAAGAATTTGTACAAAAAGTATAGGTACAATCTGAAGTTGTACCATAACGTAAATGTACAATTTCAAGTTGTACCATAAAGATAAAAACTTATAGCACCAATACTATATAACATTGTAAAATTCCTCTTTGTTATGACATGTATTTATGCATCTTCTGCTTAATTTCTTTGGGATCGAATATTGAAGCTGTCACTGTCTTCGGCCAGCGAACTTGTAGGTAAGGTGAGGGTTACAAGCCACCAACGTAGCTCTAATGTGTCGTATGGATGGAATAATTTTGCCTCGTTATTTACAGAATGATTTGAGTATTATTAGTATACCATATAGTATACCCCGGACAAAACTATAAGGTTAGCACCTCTGTTTATTTTTGTTATTTAGAGATTGAATTACTTGAAAATCGGTGTATGATACGATATTCTAACTTCTTATGGATAAATTTCAGTTCTTAGTTTGTAATTCAAAATATATAATATATATGATTTTGTCTTTGGTGCGCTCATTTTTTTGGTGCATTCCATGTAATCCTCTCATAATCATCATTCTGAGCAGCTGATACATGTCAGAACATCTCAACTGTTACTTGAGATATGGTGGACAAGATAAAACATGAATTTGCACAAAAATCATTCAAGATTTACTTTTATTTGAAGTTTTAAATGTTTAGAGATTTGAGGTTAGGATTTATAATTTAAGGGGTTAGGGTAATGGATTGATTAGTTGCGATCCTATGTTATATCATCATATCATACTAATACTATCAACAAAAATTCAAAATTCGATGTGTTAAGGCCACTTTTATAGTTGAGTGCATTGTATGCACTCATTTTTGTGAGTGCATGAAAGAAGCCACCAAAATTACCTTCAGGAATTTATTCCCGTTTCTGGGTCTAAACAAAAGCTTCCTAGTGAAGCTTTAACTTCCTCAACAATTTCCCCTTCGAAACTATTTCTATCAAATACTCAAACGTCAATTGGCATCCTACCCAATTCAGAAGAAACCAAACAAATCTATTAGTAACATCACCTTGATGTCGCAACTACCTCAACAGAGGTCACATCTTCGATAGCCCCTCTTGAAACCGTTTTTCCCAAAACCCAAGATGTGGTGGTTGTGCAAGCCCCTCAAAATCGATTTCAAACTCAAAATAACTCAACTTCAACAAGTGAAGGGAGCCTCCTTACATTGAGGAATGGAGTCCCTGACTCGCTCCTACTGTCACTCTAGAAAATGGCCAAGTGTAACAACTTCCTAAAGCGTAGTATAGTGGGTTTGGGTTTTAATGTCAACCCGGGTCCTAGATGTGATGACTACTTAGTGAATTCTTATTATCTAGCAGTGAAACTTTAGTGCAGGTTCAAATAAGCAAACAAGCAAAGCAATTAAACAGTTGTTTTCAAGTCGAGAGAGGTCACCCGGATATGCCTGATTGTAAATTACCAAGTTCAATTTTAATGATAGTTATACTGTGGAAGGTTCTTAAACAGTATGAAGTCTCGACTAAAGGTCTCCAGACCCTCTCAATCTGAGTCCCCAGCGGGCGACTAACCTCCACCGGAGTAAACAGATTGAGGCCCTAACGAACCAAACCTCCACTACCGGAGTAAATCCGGTACAGAATAGTGAATTGACTCCTCGACTAAAGTCGTCAATTCACCACTTTCAATCAAGGATGCTCTATCAACCTAGGCAGATATTCTCATTCTTCAAAGCAGAAATAACAGGAATTTGATCAGGATTCATGCAATTCAACAAATCAACCCTCAATTGAATATAATCAAATCATATAATATGTACTTGGGTTCATACAATCAGACCCAACACACAAATCTAGGGTTCTTCATACCCAGGTGAATAAGAAAGCTAGTCCATAGAGAGAGATGGAAAATCGAGCTCAGATGCGGAAACCATACTGTGAAGGATGATAATGTGCTTCTGGCGCTCAATCGGATCTTCTCCAAGCTCAAGCCGGGCTCCAATGGTGATGGAGATCGATCAAAGACACTTGGGAACTCTGGTTCGTCACTTTCTCTCTCTAGGTCGCACTTTTTCTCTCTAAAACTCGGAACCCCTCACTTGCGGCTGGAAATTGGGTTAAAACCAGAAAATCCCGATCACACGGCCGTGTGACTTCCCCAGATGCCCGTGTGAGTTGTGCAAAACGCGTCGTTTCGATAAGTGAACTCCAGCCATCCTACACGGCCACAACCACACGGCCGTGTGAGTTCCCAGGCTGCCCGTGTGAGAATTGTCGAGCCTTCACACGACCACCTGGGTTCCCCTACACGGCCCGTGTGATTTTTGCCAGTGCAATTGATGTCACACGGCCAGGTTACACGGCCGTGTAGGTGTTAGGCGTGCCCGTGTGGCTCCATCAGCTTCCCGCGAAATGTCCAATCCTCGTCCAATCGACCCCGAACTCGTTCCCAAGCCTTCATTCACGTACTAGGACCTGAAATATCACAAACAAGAACAACCTAGCGTGAAATCGGCCTAAAACGCGGGAATCGACATCTCAAACGGCTCAAGAATAGGGGTAAAAACATGTGTAATCAATGGCCTATCAAATTCCCCACACTTAACCGTTTGCTTGTCCCCAAGCAAACCTAACTCAAACCAATGCAGCTCTCCAGACCTCTATAGCAACAAACAACCCCGATCGTCAGTAGAGGATTTTCTAGATCATAAAGCAGCTTACGAGGTCAACTGGTCTTCTAAGACGTCCCCTATCTCTCTCAATGCAAGTACTAGACTCAAGCCAGGATCATGAGAAGAAGTAGAAGTAAGACAGTCAGTTCATGGATAAAGGGACTCACACCATTCACAACCAAGGACTCATGGTACCGGGGGTGCTCTTTCACTTCATTTCACCGTTGGAACCCCTTT